TTTCTCATTTGCTAATACTCACAGGTGCTGTGACATTTAAAAAATCAACCATTTATACACAGTTCTTTAGACAGTAGTATCCAAACTAACACATAGATTAAACTTCTCACGTGGAGATGCCATAGAATGAATGGTCCCTTGGCAAAGCTTCCAGATGGACTCTTCATATTCTGGTAAGGCTGGACTGTAATCACATAATGACAACTAGCCCCTATCGCTGTGATTAGTCAAGTACCAAACCTGAAGATCCGTCTTTGGATGATAATGTTATAAGGGACAATAACTTTTAAATTAATGAATTATACTTCTGTGTACTCTTTCATTCCCCAAAGGACTGTCCCTGAGTTAGTTTTCTCTGATGACAGAAAGAGGGAAAGGAATGGTCTACTTCTTGGAATAAGAAAATAGCCATTTCAGAGACTAGATGAGACCATGTGTAATTGTGATAGACATTGTTCATATGAAAATAGATGTTTATAATATTCTAAAATGGTTTTGTACCTAAAGATTTGGACATTCTACCAGAAATGGTTTTAATTAAATATTCATTTAAATTTCCATAAAAAATAGTGCCAAGGAGAAATTCAGACCAACTACAGTGGAATCACCATAAGTTCAAAATTAGTCTTTAGTCAGTCTGAATAACTGAAGTTTGGGCATACTAGAAAAATTGCAAAAAAGTACACTTTTTAATGACCACATCTGGGGCCATATACCAGTAAATAGCCCTGCCTGTGACATGTTTTACATGTTTTTGTTATATCAATTACAACATCATAATTTTGCTCTTGTCAGTCTTTCCTCATAAGGACTTCATTTTAAAAAATATCAACTTCCTTACTGTCTGCCATTTGCTAGGAATACTACAGAGAAAGAATCAGACAAAAAAATGCTTTCAAGAGTATCTTTTAGTGTGAGAGAGCGAGAAATAAAAACTAAATAAATAAGCAAAATATATCATGTTAGATAGGATTCTTCTAAATATTTATCTCTGCATCACTGGCATCTAGCACAATACATAGACGCAGTAGACAATCAGAAACTACTCACTGCTATATTGGTTTACTTTAATGGTTATGCAAAGAAAAAAGAAGCGTAGTTCTTGCATTTACCATTGCTTTTAATGAGAACAGGCACTGGAGTCCTGACATTGACTAACAGAGATACAGAGGAAATTTGTAGGGTAGGGGATAATGGAATAACTTCCAGAATATAACTTTAGCGAACATGAGCTCTGTTATCTGTGAGTAAAGTAGCCTGTCATCTCAACTGGTCATCTCAATGACTGACATAATTGTATTATGTGGCCTAAATTAATGGAGATTTTATTGCAAGTGTTAATTATTTCATTCTTTGCACCTGGTAATGAACATAAACTTTTCTTCCAATACATTTCATTGACTTTGGTATTTCTTTCTTATCTTAGTTTTGAGTGTCTCAGAGGTATCATATTAATTAATTGATTTTTCCATAGGGTATCTGAATACTTGGCCCTGTCCACTTCTCAGTTAGAATTCTAATCATCGCTATAACAATGATGAAAAATTGTAACATGTCAAAATCCAAAGAAAGATATTTTAGAGAATAACACATAATGATTGAATGTGCCAGGTAGCTCTCAGGAACTAGATGAAAGGCTATGTGTATGATGAGACTGTGTACATGACCTTCTGGAATACAGGGGCACATGTGCTGGCCAGAGAAGAACACTTTCAAGGCTTGTGCAATGGCTCTTGACAGAGCCCATGAAGAGTGGCAGACTTTCCTCATTCTTGCCCCCACTTCCTTACTTCTGCCAGTCTTAACAGGGATTGAATTTTTCAGGCAAGTCTGTGCACCTTGCTCACTTACACATAGACATGCATAAATAATGCTCATTAGTTCTGATTCTTTAGTACAATAGTATATTTCCATAAATTACTCAGAAAAAGCATAAATTACGAAAGGAATACATGACTTATCTAAAAAATATTAGTAAATTAAAGACAAACCAAAGGAGAAAATAAAAATTCTCTGTCACTCTACTATCTAGGGTTTATCAATGAAAACGCTGATATATATCACAGTTTTTTTCCTATGCATGCACCAAATTACATATATATATTATGTGTGTGTGTGTATGTGTGTATATGTGTGTGTTTATATATATATAAAATTTGCATGCACCAAATTACATATATATTTTATATGTGTGTGTGTGTATATATATGTGTGTGTTTGTATATATATATAAAATTTGCAAAATTGGGATCACACAGTCAATACAATTTAGTAACTTGCTTTTTAAATGAAAATGCTGATATAGATCACAGTCTTTTTCCCCTGCATGCACCAAATTATATATATGTATTATATATGTGTGTGTGTGTTTATATATATGTATATATATATAAAATTTGCAAAATTGGGATCACACAGTCAATACAATTTGGTAACTTGCTTTTTAAAATGTTAATACTGAATCATAAACATTAATGTTTGCATAGTTTTCCATTACATGAAATCATAGTTTTATTTTTTGATATATAAGTGATCCCAAATAATCAATGACACACTATTATCAATAATGTACTAATGATCAGTCTTTTACGTAAATACTCCACCCACATCTTTGTTGGTGGCTAAGTGATTGGTGCTTCTCCCAGCCAGACTCTGGAGCAACCTCTCTTCCAGGCTGGGCAGGTAGTGGGTGGATGGGGAGAGGGTGAGGGCGAAGGCCAGGGTACTGTCTGGCATTCTGGAGAGAAGCGTGGGCACTGGCTTCTCTCAGCAGAAGACTCAATGCCTTTTCACAGTGCTGGTGACACTGCTGTTTGCAGAGGAGAGAGGAGACTTAAAAAAGTGCATGCTCAAGCATTTAAAATTTGCTAATTTCTAAACCAGGCCCAGCTCTTTCATGCGATTTATAGTATCTTTTTTCCATCTACGCAGAACAGTATCTTGACTGGGCTCAGAGATCTTCAGAAACACACCTAGTCATTAAGAGGAAGTGCATTCATTTAATATTTGTGAGGCAAGAAATATTTATTCATTCATTCATTCTTGAACCAACCCCCTAACCCTAACCACCAAACCTGGCAAGTAGAATGTAAGTTCCATGAGGGCAGGCACATGTCTACCTGTTCCGCCATTGTATCTTGAGTGCCTGGCACATTGCCTAGCACATAGCAGATAATCAATAAATATTTGATGAGTTAAAAAAAATTAGTAGTATTATTTCAATCCAACTACCACTTGGGTCTTAGCTCTGCTTTTTTCTAAAAGAAACTAAAAGAAACATTCTGGATATTAGAAATGAATATAGAAGAAGAGATGCTCATAGATATACAGATAAATAGATAAAATTATCTTGCAATGTTGTAAGTGGTATAACTGGGTATGTACAGGCTGCTGAGAAAGCACAAAGGAGGGAGTTACTTGCTAATTCATCTCCGTGAAGTTGGGGAATGTTTCATGGAAGTAGCTTATTTTTCAATGGGGTTCAAAATAAGGAGAATATGTCAGCCAAAGAAAAGGGGGATAGGCAGTTCAAAACAAAGAGTCACGCAAGCCAGTGCTCAGAAATATGTGCATTTGGGACAAGTGAAGCCTACACAGTAGTTGGAGTATAGGGTATTTGCACAGAGATGGGATTGTAGAGGTGCACTTCAGGTGCATAGTCGTGGTGCCAGCTGAGGAGTTTGTACTTTGTTTTGTAAATAATGAAAGTGTTGATAAAGGACATTTATCCTTCAACCATTAATATCATCGGGCCAAATTAAAACATTTCTTTCTGATAACGGTCCATTAAGAAGACCAAGAAGATTTAATTTTCTTCTCATTTGCATTTCAGGCTTTGTTATATCCACTCTTAATCATGGAGGCATAATGGTCTAAGCCTTTGTTAATTTTTGTTTCACCTCTTGTTTATTATTTATTTATTTATTCATTTATTTATTTTCAGAGAGAGGGGAAGGGAAAGAGAAAGAGAGAGAAAGAAACACTGATATGAGAGAGAAACCTTGATTGGTTGCCTTTTCCATGTGCCTTGACTGGAGGCCAAACCTACAACCCAGGCACTTGCCCTGACTGGGAGTCAAACTGGCAACTTTTTGCATTGTAGGACAATACCCAACCAATAGAGCCACACCAGTCAGGGCCATTTATTTCTTATTTGTTTTGATAGCCATACTCTTTTCAACAGTTTTGTATTCTGAAGCTGTTTATTTGGGGTCCAAAGCTGGGTTCATTGATTAGACCAGTTATAATATAGCTGGGACCATTAATGGAACTCATCCCACAAAATGGTCTCTTACATCATGGGTGGTCAGAAAATGGACAAATGAGACCCAAATCTATATTAAATCTCAATGGTAGATCAGAGGGGAACACATTTCCTCAAAGTCCTTAGAAAATCCCATTGTGATTTTGGAATGTTTCAGCTAAGTTAAAGCTATGAGAGATGCAGGAAAGGGAAAATGAAATAGAAGACATTGGTATCATTGTAGTTTCCAAGAAGAAAACTCTAAAAATAAAATTTCAGAAAAATATCATATACCATGTGCAAATTAATATCAGATCCTCTAAATTTATTTTTAAAAACACTTATCTATAGGTAGGTTATCTATAATTTAGCTTAACTATATTTTATTTACACAAATACATTTTATTGAAATATACAAATATGTGTTGGCTTTGAGCTTACTATTCTCAGAAGTAAAAAAAAAAGTTACTAGTGTCAGTGTTTGTTCTCTTGGGTCTTTCTATTTACATACACTTGACTTAACATGTAAGTTATCATTTTTGTAGTTTTGATGTCAATTTCAATTCAAAGAGTTCAGATGTATGCCTCAATGTTTCTGCTATTCTTTTCTTTTTGTCAGTATTTTGCCAAATAACATCACAATGTGGAAGGTGAAATGAATACCACGTGGCGTGGGTAGTTAAGTTAAAAAAAACCCAAAAACTGTAGGACTAAGAAAATGTTTGTAAACTGATTTCCCTTGTTGTTCGTTTTGCAGCTGACAATGGCCAACATTGGAATAAATGGAAATCATTCTATGGAGACCTGTGAAACAACACTTTTTGCTCTCCGAATGGCAACATGGAATCAAATCTTAGATCCCTGGGTGTATATTCTTCTAAGGAAGGCTGTCCTTAAGAATCTCTACAAGGTTGCCAGACGCTGTTGTGGAGTGCATGTCATCAGTTTACATGTTTGGGAGCTTAGCTCCATTAAAAATTCCTTAAAGGTTTCTGCAATTTCTGAGTCACCTGTTGCAGAGAAAATAAATCGGCAATCACCTAGTTTAATAGGACAGCAATTCAGTGTAGGCCTAGGACAAAATTAAGAAAAGTTTGGCAATGTTTTATTTAATTGTGTAAGTATATAAAGCCTAACTGGAAAATTTAAGTGTCAGTGAAGAGTTTCAGGAGCACTTTTGTCAGATGCGGATTTGAAATTTATAAAATTAACTGTATAATTGCACATTTTCACTTTGTTTCGTCAACTGCAGGTACACATGATGAAATAATGCCGTGGAAGTCAAATTGAAAACAATTTTGGGCTTATCTGTGTTATTTCTGCTTTTGGAATGGGTGACTCTATTGAACCCTAAACCATTTACTTGGTTTATTTGCCAAAGAAAGTCTTTGAACTACCTGCATTGTGAAGTAGCTATTGGGGGCTACTGCTCTGTAGCTGTTTCTTATAGACTAGGCTCAATGAAATAGAGCACCCTCATATTTTGATCTGGCCTGTTTTACCCTTCATTATGTAACCTCAGTTAATATATGTATGATTATGTCACATGGGATTCACTGTGGCTTATTGTAATGACCTCCATATATACCAGGTGTGGCTGTCAGGTTGCCTGGTCTTGTGAGCCTATTTAGAATGAGCCTGTTCTTGTCACATTTGACAAATATGACTGCTTACATTGATTGGTATGAAGGTCAATTGTTGTTTGAAGGTTTTCTTTGTAAGTCATAGATTTACATAGTTTTCAAATAATCCCCTTTTCCTTTGAAAATTCTAGTGCACAGAAGTAATTTTTAGAGAAACAAAGGCTCTATCTTAGCACATGTAAAAGTGATTTGCATTATAGCAGTTCCTAAGAAGCTCTGCCATGGATAAGCAGAGAGAACTTAAATACAGTGAGTGGTAGGTGCAAAGAACACTGACAAAGGCACTTTACTTTGAGTAATCATTTTTGTGTCAGAGAAAAAAAGAAACACAATCTATATATAAATTTATAAAGACTATCTGCAGATAGTGTGTTTCTATCTGCATGTAGTACGTTTCTGCTTTCCACTTACACACACACACACACACACACACACACACACACACACATCCACCCCCCCACCCCCCCAGGACATCAAAAATTTCTGTTGAAAGCAGCTTCATTAAATCTGTAAGATGGCGTCTCCTAAAGCCTGTGCTACCAGCTTAAGGGAAGAATTGACAAGTAGCTAGGTATTTGGAGATCATAATAGTGGCTAACCAAGAGGTTAGTCAAGGGGTAATAATCTTTCCCCAAATTTCCCATTCATACTTGAGACTTTTCCTTTGCTTGTTTGTATAATTCAGCCCATGGAGTTTTAGTAATCATTCAAAATGTCCTGGGTCCATCAGGACATAGGGTAGGTAGTTCTGCTTTATGACAGTAAAATGCATTTCTGTAGAAGAGTCCATTGCCATTATTAACTGGGGCTCATTTTAGAATTACTCTTTCCTGTGAGACCAGTTTCAGATTCTCCATGAAATTTAGGCCTTTCAACTAGACGTAAGTCATATTCACAGATTTTTTGCTTTTGACTGGTAATGTACATTGGAAGTTTTTGTCTACTTTTGTGAATTTTTGAAAATTCTTACGAATAATTTAAAAAAGATTAAGCAAATAGCCTCAATGAAGATTTAGTGGCAACCATTTTATTCAGTGAATTTAAAGAAGGGAAACTCACATATACACACTGGTATGTGATACTCTTAATTTAAGACCAGTAAATGATTAATCACATAAATTTAGGTTATTCTCATTTATAGAGCACATAGTAGATGGTTGATAAATACTTGCCAAATTGAATCACAAGAATTTCTTAATATGAAATGAGTATGGAAGTGCAAAGATTTTGTACATTTTAAATTTAAATTGACAATTACATATGGTAATTGTGAGATATATATGCATATATATTTGTGTATATGTATATATGCACATATATTTGTATATGTATAAATGTGTATATATGTACATATATATATAGTGTATATGCTTAAAAAAGCCATCGCAGTTTATGATTGCTGTTATATTGCCTAAATATTCTCTTGTGTTTTAAGAGAACTCAAAGCCAAGAAGAACTTGTAGATGGTTCAGAGGTGATATCTGTTTGTCACAGCTGCTTAAAAAAATTGGTGTCCTGTGAATTGAGGCACAGGGAACCAAACCTCTATTTTCCTTATGCTGGTAGGATGCTGCAGAGAACACTTTCTTGTATCGTGACTCTGTTGAAGTGCAGGGGAGAAACTTGTTCAGAGCTCCAGTCCTCTTCTCCTTGACGCTTTTCTAATCGATTGGCAGCATTGTTGCTCTGTTGCTGTGACATCACCCTGGCCATGTGTATCTGTATGGAGAAAATATTGGGACATGACCATGTGTGGCAGTACATGAGCCTGCAAGGTTTTGGGGAGAGACAGGGGCCTCACTCAGCACATATCCTGCAAGAATTCTCTATATCATCGGAGCACAGGTCTAGGACAGCTATATTTGGTTTATGATGATGTTAAACACAGAAAGTAGACACCAAAAATTGAAAAAAAGTTTAGTAAAAGAGTGTGTGTTTACATTGTTTAAGGCTTTTACCCAAGGAAAATGAAACAAAGAGAATACAACCATGTGCCTATCTGACTTTGGAATTTTATTCATGTTATTATACATATTTCAGTGTTGTTAGGCAATTTATTCTATCAAGAATAATATAATGGAGCATTCACCAACAACTTTCATATAAATTTTTGAAGTAGAAGTATATTTGTACAGATTACTGGAAATAAATAGTACAGATAGTGTTCAACAGGTTCACTGATTTTGCAGTTTCAAGCTCTATTTTAAAATTCACAATTAGACCACAGTAACTGAAAGTCCCTTGTCACTGGGTAAAGTAGTAAGCAACTTCTCATATTATTTGCCATCTTATTTCTGGGTAATTATATTATTGTGGGCAAATGACTTGAAAATGCCAGGCTTTTCTTGATGTTAATGAATTTTTTTTAAAATGACAAAAAAAAAAAAAGAAAATCCAACAGCAAATGGGTTTTTATGATTATAAATGCCAAGACAGATAATGATGACTCATAATGATGACTGTGAATATGTCCCCAAACATCAGACTTTTTACTGATGGATTTAATTAGTGACAGAAATATGCTCTTTCAGACGTTTTTTCTGAAAGCAGAAACTTGCTTCTACTTTGTATTGCTCAAGTGGAAGATACCTAAATGCATGCGCGCGCACGCACGCTCGCACGCACACATACACACAACCTGTCTTATATAACAAATGGTCTTGTTTACTCATTTTCAGGTTTAAAAATAAAAATTTGCTTTAGTTGTGTGCCTAATCTTAAAACCCAAGTAAGGATACTCGTTAAGTACATAGAATGAATTTTTTGTGAAACTAGTCACCTGTATTGCCGTTATTACTCCAAATTAATAAACTAAGCTCAGAATATATAGGCCAGAAACATACATTTTCTTACTTCTTCATCTGGGTGTCAGAATATTTTACCACCTAGTAAGTAATGTTGAACTTTAATGTGTTACTGACATAACTTGTTACTGACACATCTACTAGCAGTAGATGAATGTCATATGTGAATAAATGTATTTTGTGCTCTTCATACTTATTGGATTGTATAAGAGAGTAAATAGTGATATGTATATTTTGTTGCTTGCATTGGTATTCAATTTGTAATTTTTGTGATTTGACTAGTTTAAAACTTCAGACAAATGATTTTATAATAAACTTGGACTAGTGTTCATCAAGAGTGGTCATTTTTTAGGAAAGTCATACAAAAGTTGGAACTCTTGAACTTAAACTCCCATTTTAACCTGCTATGAAAGTGATTTTCAACCTTTTTCATCTCGTGGCACACATAAACTAATTACTAAAATTATGTGACACATCAAAAATATATATTTTTTGCTGATCTGACAAAAAAATATAGATATACTTTTGATTCATTCACACCGAATAGCCATTGTTGTGTTTGGTGTTGTTTTTTATTTGACAGTCTAAGGGGAAAGAGGTCAGTGCCCCTTGACTAAACAGTCAGGTACTGCGTGTTTTAAAGATTCTTGTGGCGCATCAGTACGCTGGGGCCTACAGGCTGAAAATCACTGTGCTGTGAGATGGGAAGAAATTCAACTTGTTTTCCATTATTACCTTTTGCTATCCATTTTCTGCCCATTCTTCTGTGATATATGCTTTCTTTTTTCTGCCACGCCTTACCTAGGTAGGTTGTAATTATGATGGGAATCTGATCATTTCCACAACACAGTGACCTAGATGAGTTAGTCAGGATAGCTGAGTTATATTTATGGTAACAGCCCCCAGATCTCAGTGTCATAGTCCACAAAGATTTGTATCTCACCTATGGCTCCAGTCCACTCAGAGGGGGAACTCTGCTCATTATAATCACTCAGAGACCATAGGTGACAAAGCAGCTACCACTTTGTATGTTACTGTTTGCCATGCTACAGGGGAAAAGCAATGTGGTGAATTGCGCACTGGATCATGGAGCTTTGACCTGGAGGTGGTACATATTTTTTTTGCTCAAACCTCTCTAGTCAAAGAAAGTGGTATGGCCCTACCAACATCTAGGGGGGCAGGAAAGGGCAATACTATGACATGCCCAGGAGAAGAACTGAAAATATTGGTGGATAGCATGAATGATTTCCACATTAGGTAAAAATTTCTTTCATTCTTGCCTTCCTAATATAATTCAAACAGGAAACGTTTGTTTTTTTAAAAAAAATTTATTATTTGGGGATATCATGGGATGAAAACATTTAGGACTCGTTCATTTAAATATCTTGCAGTCTATAAGGAATAGGCAGAATAAATGCCACATATGCTGTTTCCAATTAAGAGAAATTTAGATGATAAAAACCACTATGAAATATTGAAAAACTTGGTTCTTAAAAATACAAGTGAGACATTGCTGTATAATGCCCATGCATTGCCAAGTTGAAGGATTATCTAAAATCGTTGCTTTTCTAAGATGTTTCAAATACATTTTTGTCTTTACACTTTCAGTATTCTTTGTAATAGAATATGTGTACTTTGATATACTCCATGCTACTGAATTGAATTAAACTGTCAGAAAACCTGAGGTAATACAATAGTACTGGAACAAGTT